GAGTTTTGTAGTTGGCGAACTCAGCCCATGAGACTGGTGGTTCTTTTTCTCCATATTGACCACCACGAACACAGATTAGATCTTGCCATGTTAGCACTTATGCAAGAAAAGTGGAATAGGTAAATTTGTGGAATCTCACAACCTCACCTCTTACTTACCAATGCTCTTTCCTATTCTCAAGGACAATGAGCGTGCTAGTGTAGCAGCTCAATGGAAGTGATTGAGAGGTCGCAAGGATTACGAGTTGAACGTCCCGTTTCAGATTTTTGATGGAGCTATAGGTGGCTAATCAAGGAGGCTACGGATCGCAAACCCAAGTGGTTTGATGTGTTCAAAAGATATGAAGTTGCTGCTATGGAGATTACCACCAACTTGAATATGTAAACTAAAATTGGCAATTATACAACTAGCAACATACGCCTACTTTCAATTCTTTTCACTTCTCTTTTGTTTAATCTTTCTTCTTCTTTCTTCTCCTTTTTTCATTTTTTTATACTAACAGGGTGCAGATAACAAATAAAAAACAACATGAAATATGTGAAGATGGTGACTAGCAACTTGATGAACACAACAACACAAAGGTAGCAAGTACCGCCAAAAAGGCTATAGGATTTTATGGCTTTTTCAAAGGACTTTAGGTGATGAACAAAAAATAGTAGCAAACGATGGATAAATCAAAAAGTAAATATGTGGATGATGGTGAGACCTACTGTGGCAACAAAAGCTTTGATACCAGATGATAAGGAATGTCCTTGAGGGTGGCCTGATCTTCACGATAGTAGGTCACAAATTAAAGATAACTTGCTGCGAACAACGGGATAACTTGCTTTATACTTGGCAAAAGTTGGATGCGACCAAGCGACTGGGAGAGAGGCACCAAAACCGCAGAAGACTTTGACTCGATCTCCGAATCAACCGTAGAACCACAATCCAGAACTAATCCACACAAACGGTGCAGCCATATCGAAACCGTGAGAGCATGAACTAGGGGAACCCATAGGGATCACTTCACAAGTCCAAGAAGAATAAGGAAGAACAAAGGCTTGAGTAAGGCACCGGCAAGATCTCGCCGCAATATTATGTAGTTTATCAAATCATCACAAAAGGTTTCTAATAGCTTAGAGGTAGGGGGATATTTGTACTAGGAACAACCCTTCTAGTTAGGTGTGAAAACAAAATGGAGTTTCTGAAGATAGGTAATGTGAAAGGTCCCTCGAGATGGATTTTTGAAGTGGTCTCATGTGATGTTGGCCTCAAGAGCGGTGTGCACTAATCTGACCATAACTCCTTATTGGGAAGTCCAAATGATGAGCCGTTTGTTGAGTGTGAAAGTAGACTGAAGAACTTTCCAGCCATGTGCAGCATGCAGCATGAAACTTTATAGATTGGTACAGTTTTGCATGGGAAGTTGTACCAAATTCTGCCCCTAGCGGACTATTGACTTTCTGCGTCACTTTTTCCTAGGTCCGGGTTGTAAAATCATGTTACTTGTCATTTGCGTTATTTTTTCCTAGGTCCGGTCATCCGCCTGGTGTTACTTTTTCGATGGAGCTATTTTGTAGCGCCGATGTCTTGATCCTTCGCCATGTGCCTTCCACGTCTTCATGTGTAAACCTAAGCATCATCAAGATAGGACATTTAGGTTGTATAACATTCTTAGTAGTGTTAAAATTACAATCAGTTAGGAATGAATTCACCTGCTCTTGTAGTTTCTTGGCATGACTTCTTGTAAGTGGGGCTTGATTTGTATCTTTTGGACTTGAGCTAGCATGCACGGTTGGGATGTCCTCATCGATTCTCGGGTGGGTGGGCCATTGATCAAGCATTAGGATAGGGCTACCGAAGGCGACATGGCCGATGGAGCCTTCGTATCCGATGGACAATTAATCGACATGATGGTGTCTTTGATATCCAAAGTTAAACTACTTCATAGCAGAAGAATAAGGAATAATATCAACATTTATATCTTTGAATTGTTTTATTAATATATATATATATTTCATTATTAATCTGATTTTATTTATTATGAATCATAAATGTTAATCTTCTTAATATATTTCGGCCAAACTTGATATTAATCAACTCATCGTAAAAACAAGATTTACATCTTTTCGGGATGGATGGAATAAATGACAAGCTGGAGATGCAAACTAAGCGTAACTAGTTAAGCTCCTTGTGTTAGGATCGATGCACAGGTTGAAATACTCAATCGGACTTGGGTGCTTGCATTTTTCTAGATTTATTCTAAGATTTAACAATGTTATTATTTCCAAAGATTATATAAGTGGCATGCCCAAAAAAGATGTATATCTTGTTTTTACGATGATTTAATTAATATCAAGTTGATGACCACAAGGGCAGAGCTCTTCTGGCGGTGATGACATCCTCCCCTTTTGCTCCTCCTTTGGTAGCGCCACCCTCCTCATCGTCCTTCTTCCTCCTCCTCGGTGACCCTCTCCCTTTGCCCCTCTTGCTCCCCACCTCCGCTTTGATGATGACCATCGATCTAGCATTGACCTCCCAATGTTGACGCCTTGCTCCGGACTTTGATCTACCCCTGCACGTGCCTTTACCATGATGGAGCGAAGCTACAGCAGAAGAGGAGGGCGTCAAGGGCTCCACGTGGTAGTAGGCGCGCTAGGAGTCTCCAAGTCTCGGTGGTGCATGTTAGGGGTAGCGGTGGTGGCAAAATTTAGGTGGAGTAGTGTTGGGCCCCATAATTTAGGGTCCTCTCGTGCATGATGTATCGGTCCTCGATCAAGAGCATTTGGTACACACAAATCAACAAGATTGATATAAAACCATACTTTTATATTGCTAATGGAAAACACATTACATGGTTTGGGTTCATAGCTTGGGCCACTAGCCTTATATCGATATCGAGTTCTAAGACAATGGTCCTATGTCAATGTAGCTCCATTCCTATAGGGAAGCTTGGAGTGCGGACACAACCCTAGCCTTATTCCTTGTTGTACTCCTATTTCCTAATCGTCACGGTCCTAGCGTAATCCTCTCTGCAGACGACTCCGCCTTCGAGTATACTCTAGGTATCCTATCCCTCGGCGTAGCTCTAGAAGTTCTATCTGGTATGTCCTCTTGTAGCTTAACTCCTAAAAACATAGAATGGAGGGTTGAGCACATAAAAGTACTGACATAGCCCTAAACTTTGGGTGGAGGAGGTGGAAAGGGGAAGGCTATATGGTGGAGGTGGGTTGTAGGCGGTGGGGGGTGGTTAAGGTAAAAAGTGGTAGGGTAAAGAAATGTGGTATAATTATAGGTTG